CTGCTACGCGGGTGTAAATCGGGCGTCACTCCACTGAAGCGAAGTTTATTGAGATTTGAATGTGGCCTTAATTTCTTAGGGGCTTGTTTTTTACTGATTTCTTAAATTTACTGTCAAGTATAGAATGGAACTGATTTTTTTTCTCTAATTTGGCAAAAATTGTCACCCGTGGCTGCCATTTTTCCACCCCAAGGCAATGTAGTAAGAACACCGATGCATGTCAGGTCAACATTTGCAGCGTGAGAGCAGCCCCACTGAAATGAAAAACAAATTGCTAGGCTTTCCCCATGCTGGGAGCTCCTTTTATTTCCCTTTCATTTGAACCCGTGCTGAGGTAAGATGGCCCTTTTGTCATCACTGCTTTGGGTTGGAAAGAAGCAGTGGGGGGACCTATACGGGCTCTCTGTCGTGAAACTGGAACTCCTCATTAGGACAGCCGTCATGGGGACCTCCAACAGCTCCTCCTTCATTCTGGTGCTCAGAGTCCCCTCAGGTGAGCTTGTCTGTTCACCCGCTTCCCTCTCGGGGTTGGCACTGTACTGCCCCAGCCTTGACACTGTGTGGCACCTGGAGGACCAGAACTGCAAGCAGCCATAGACCAAGAAGGCCGTAAAGCAGAGAAGCAATAGGCTACTAACCATCCACATGGAGGTGGCAGATTCCTGCTTCAAGCCGCGCAAGGCCAGCGGGTGCTGGTCGAGAGTGTGAAATGTTGTGCAATGGTTGCTGGAGGGGTAGGAGTTTTTACATGTGACGCACAGGATGTAGACGGTGGAGGGAGTGAGCCTGTGGAGGACCAGGGAGCTAAGGGAGTGGGGGACCCTCTCCTCGCGGTGGAAGTTCTGGCGCAAGTAGCCTGCGAAGACGCTGTTCCAGTTGGGACGGTACATGACGTGGTAATAATTCTCGGGGCAGGGGTTGTTTGTGGACCAGGAGATGGTGGCTCTTGTGTCAGAGACGTTGCGGACTTCAATGTTCATGGCGGCTCTGAAAGCAGAAGCAAGGAAATGCTTAATATACTGGGCCTGAGCCAAGGCTACTGAAATCAGCTCGGCTCTTTCCACTGACTCCGAGGCCCTTTCGATCGGGCCCACATGGTCTTCAGAAGTAAAGGGAATTCGTAATAGCTAAAGCTGGGTGGAAAATGCAGAGACACGTTTGTGAAAAACGTTCAAAGCTTTCTGGGAAGTTTTTTTTATTGACATTTTGTATTTTAAAAATTTGCTGGCCAAGAAAACAGGGGGGAAAAGTTTTGTGGGGGAAAAAAAGGCAAAACTTTTCATAGAAACGTCAAAAATTCAATAGCTTTCCGTCAGTCCCAGTATTATCGGTGGGACTCCACAGTTCGGTGGCAATGGTTATTTCCAGCCGTCTGGTACACTAGAATAGAACTGATCAATTCAGCATTTGCACGTATCAATACAGTTCTGCCAATAGCACTCTCACCTTTGTCTTAGATAACTATATAGTACCTATCACCGCACAGTCGTCAATATATTTGCCTTCCCAACAGCCCTGTAAAGTAAGACAGTGCTATTGTCCCCATTCTACAGATGGGGAAACTGAGTCAGAGAGAGGCTAAGTGACTTGCTCAAGGTCATACACGAAGTACGTAGCAAAGCAAGGAATTGAATGTGAGTCTCCCAAGTCTCAGGCTAATACCCGAACCATTAGACCATCCCATCTCATTACCAGAAAGTCACCTGTCCGAAATAACAAATGGGACGTGGGTTTGTCCCTGATGCTCAGATCAGACATTAAACCTCTGCACCTTGTTGCTGGGTCTAGCTAGAAGTTTATGCTCCCCAAGGAATGTACAGAACATTGCAAATTTGGTTAACTTAAACGAGTAGTTAGTTCAACACAAGTCTTTCTCTTGCTTGAGCTTCCTATAAACATTTGGACTGTAAATCAAAGTTCCGTAGCACTCACTGGAAGAGTGCACGGTGACTGTCGGATTTGCCTAAGCACTCACTGCATTTTCAGTCGCTAACTTGTTGCTTTAGAAAGCACCAGGTCTGCCAATATGCCATGTGTTGTGCCAATCAGGGATCCTCATTGGGGAGCTTGCTTGCTCCTGCAATTCAAATAAATTCAATAATAACAATAGTCAAAATAATAAAATATAGTCAGGAAATAGACTTTTACCACCATGCTTATTCAGCAGGTGAATTTTATTGAAATCTACCGTTTAGCTTCAGTCGGGGATTATTTTGGTAGGGCCCCTCTCGTGGGTCACGTAGTCCCTTTCCTAACTTCACTGCAGGATCAATTCCTCTCTACAAATTCATTTCTATAAAGCAGAAATGTTCGGCTCTTCTCTCCCTGCTGTCGGCAATATTTACTTCTTTGCTAACCAGACTAAAGCTATCCATCTGGATTGTCTCTCTTTTCATTTGCTTTCTTTCTCTTTTCCTATGTTCTTCTTTAATTCAAGAAACATCTCATCTTAACAATTGCTCTGTATCCGACTTTCCTCTCATGAACAGCTAAACACATGCACACATAACAGAGTAGCCACATAATCATAAAAAAGCCATTTACCTTTCTCGGCATTTATCTTAAGCAGTGGCCAATAAATGTTCAGTCATGAGACATGAATCTGAGCTTGTGATGTCTTGCCTTCCTCTCCACAGCCAGAATCCCTGGATAACTCCCTTGGTTGCGGGCTGATTAAATCCATCACCACTCCATAGTCTTGTATTATACCCTTCTTTGATTGCATCATCACTCGCCATAGCAACCAATAGGAAACTGTAGTCAAGCATCTTTCAGTGAATTGCTGAGTGCTGTCCCTAAAAGCTTTTGTCTGGGAGAAGTATTTGTCCATGAAGCTGAAAGAACCAGACATGGTAGTTTTGTTTTCTCGCTCTTTTTTAAATGGGGGCTAATTAGCAGGAAAGCGACTGCAGCCAGCCAGCTCCCTGCCTCCTTTTGTCTCAGCCCCATTATCGGTTCTCTAAATGGCATTCATAGGTTCATAGATTCCAAGGCCAGAAGGGACCATTGTCAGCATTGCATTAGACTTTTCGCTGCTAGATTGAAGAGCCCATTATTAAATATTTGTTCCCCATTGAACAAATCTGTCCCTGTCAAGGTCCCTTCCAGTCCTACATTTCTGTGATTCTGATTCTACGGAGGTACTTACACCATGTAGGTCAAGTCACCCCTTAACCTTCTCAAGTAAACTCAACTGAGCTCCTTGAGTCTATCACGACAAGGCAGATTTTCTAATCTTTTAATCCTCTCTTAACCCTCTCTGATTTATTAACACCCTTCTTGAATTGTGGACACCGGAACTGGACACAGTATTCCAGCAGCAGTCGCACCAGATTCTAAAAGAAAAGGGTTTTAATTCAGGCCAAGGAAATATGCCTGCACATACAGGCGTTTGCTTTTTCTACTTCCAAAGTGCTGTGTTGACTCTGAGATGCTTGAGACCCATTCGTTCTTATTGTTCATGGGGACGATGGCTTGGCAGTCTAAGCGACCCTCCTGGGACCACAGGTTCAAATCCCAAGAATGACACATTGGGCTCCATGCAGTGCACTTTCAGATGAAATGCTGAGGTTCCCAATGTGCTTTTTAGTAAGAGGATGGGGATTGGTTCAGTGCCTTCTTCCAGCACTATAGCGAGGTAAGGTACTGACAGCCACTCACCCTGAGGTGCCAGCCTTTCTGGGGTGCTCTGGGAAGTATTTGGGGATTCTTCAGGGTCAGAGATGCTGCAGTATGCAAATGTAAAATACTATTTCCAGTAAAGCAAAGTGTCGCCTATTAAAACTCTATCACTTAGTGACTTGTCTTTAACCTTAAGATCTCGGTGACGTTTAAACTGTCAGAAAAATCTAGCTGACACTCTGTCCTTCGCCCGGGCTACAGTGGCATCAACTGATCTTTTCTCCAGGTACTGCGCTCTGACTGGAAGCAGCTCTGGCTGTGATTTTCAAAGGCATCCAACTTCTATTGAATTTTAATGGGGTCCAGGCAGGCTCCTTTCAAAAATCATAGCCACAGGGGCCTAGAAATGACTGCGTCCCATCTGGTTAGAGGAAAAGAGGGGAAGGCAAATGTAGGACGTATACAGTGTAAGCTGTTGGAGTCCCTGGGGATAAATAGGTTTGGAAGCATTTGATATTTATCGGTAAATGTAGGTAAATGTCGATTTTGCTATACACACATGCAAGTGGACAACAGAATATTTCCATCGATAATAATTGAAATGTACAGATAGGCAAAGTAAGAAAAATGCTGCTTGAGAACTTCTTAGAGTTTGATTTAAAGATAATCACTTTGTATATTTTGCCATGTGATGTTGACAACTTGTGTTTTAATAGTTATAAAGCTTTAACTTTTGTAATCTCGATGTCTACCATCATTAAATCATTGTTGTCTGACCCTCCCCCGTGTCTGACCTCCCGCATAATTTCCCACAACTGTGAAAATTTCAGTAGATCAAAATAAAAACGTGTGTAAAAATAAATATGGATGCTATCTGTCAAAGTGATAACAAAATAAAAATCAAATTCTGCCTAGCCCAGAGATAAAGGGGGGAAGGAAAGACTTGCACAATGGACCCAGCACTTCCAGGCAGTGTCTGAGTCCTGTCTGAAGCACAGGAGTGCTAAAGGGTAAAGGGAGCTTGCTCTGAATTAGAACTTTCCTCGTGGAACATTTTGATCCAGTGTCTGGAGTTCTCAGTCCCTGAAAATGAGTCTGCAGTCTGTGAGCACACCTTCAAATGTCAGCAGCGAGTGAATGCACCAGGCAAAGTGGAGAGTAAAGAACTATTTTACACCAGGAAGCGTCTGCAGCCCCTGCTCTCCACTTAGTCATCCCACTGCTTGACATTTTAGCTTTATCTTCCAAGGTCAAGCTGCCTCCCTTCTGTGTCCATCGAACAGCCATTGCCCAAGCAGGGATGGAACTATTCCCTGACAAGAGATGAAAGTGCAAGAGCTCTCACCTGGCTTCAGGCCCTCCCTTCAGGGGCAGAGGTGGAAAAGGTACTTCGCTGGCTTCATGCTGCCAGCCCAGCCCAGTCCTGCCTGCAGGGGGAAAGCTGGCGAGAGGAACACAGGGTACAGAGGGATGGTGCAACGCAAAGGGACTCTCTCACCAGGGGGTCCTGCAAGGCTGAGTTCAACAAGCGTCCTGCCTGCCGTCATGTCAGAATTATACTTTGGTTGTTCCTCAATAGCCTTTGTTCTAGAAACAGGAGACAATGGAAAGTTTAGTTTCATCATCTTATATAGGAACATCGGAATAGCCCTATTGATCAAACAAGGGCCCATCTAATCCAGGATAGCATCTCCACCAGTGGCCAGTACCAACTGTTTCTGGGGAAGGGGCAAGAAACTCTGTAGTAAGCAGTGATGTGCTAACCTGCTGCCTGCCCTTTCCCCTCCCGAAATTTCTCCTGGATCCCCAGAAGTGAGAGGTCAGCTCATGCCCTAGAGCAGGAGAGTTTCTAACCCTGCCACAGCTCTTCATGAGTTTGCTAATCTCCCTTGTTGTAGTTAAATAAGAACTCAGGGTGTGAATGTGCGGGGGGGTCTCTGAGTCAGAATTCTTTTGTTGCTGTTTTATAGCCAAGCAGGGATGTGGCTTCTCAAAGGAGGCCCTGATAATTTGTGATAAATATATGTATTAATATATGTATAACCTCACCATGCTGCTGTAACGAGTCCCTTGTCAGAGTCAACCTACCCTCGCGGAAGTCCATGGTCCAAGTGCGTCAGTTAGAATTCCATGGATTGGTGCAGAGGTGGGCAAACTACGGCCCGCGGGCCACATCCAGCCCAGGGGATCGTCCTGCCTGGCCCTTGAGCTCCCGGCCGGGGAGGCTAGTCCCCGGCCCCTCCCCTGCTGTCCTCCCCCCTCGCAGCCTCAGCTCGCCATGCCACCAGCATGCTGGGCAGCGGGGCTGCGAGCTCCTGTCAGGCAGCGCGGCTGCCAGACATGCTGCTCTGAGTGGCGTGGTAAGGGGGCGGGAAGCGGGGGGGTTGGATAAGGGGCAGAGGGTCCCCGGGGCAGTCGCGGGACAGGGAGCAGGAGACGGTTGGATGGGGCGGAGGTTCAGGAAAGTGGTCAGGGAACGAGGGGGTTGGATAGGCGTGGGAGGCCTGTCAGGGGGCAGGGGTGTGGATAGGTGTCAGGGCAGTCAGGGGACAGGGAGAATGGGGGGTTGGAGGTCCTGGGGGGGCAGGGGGGCGGAGGATCCCAAGAGGGGGTGGTCAGGGGACAGGGAGCAGGGGGGGTTGGATAGGGAGTGGGATCCCGGGGGGCGGTTAGGGGCAGGGGGTCCTGGAAGGGGGCGGTCGGGACAAGGAGCAGGGGGGGTGGATGGGTTGGGAGTTCTGAGGGGGGCAGTCAGGGGGCAGGAAGTGGGAGGGGGCGGATAGTGGGCGGGGGCCAGGCTGTTTGGGGAGGCACAGCCTTCCCTACCCGGCCCTCCATACATTTTCGGAACCCCGATGTGGCCCTTGGACCAAAAAGTTTGCCCACCCCTGGATTGGTGGGTTGCATTAAAGTTCAGTCGGGTGACTGTGTTCCAACACACATCAAGGACAAGTACTATGGAGATCCACTCTATGACAGAAAGTGGGGAGGAACTCAGAGACAACCATATCCCAGTAGTGATACAGTCAGTTCTTAGACCTGGGCACCCAGGGAAGGAGGAAGGAGGTTCCTTATTTTTCCAGAAGTAGGAAACAGAATAAAAGACAGGGTGTAAAAGGGATTTAGGCACCTGAGTCCTATGGGAGTTAGGCGCCTACATACCTTTAACAAATCTGTCTCCAAGTGTCGAGTAGAAATCAAGCCGTTCTCCGCTGTTTAGCCAGCTATAAAATTCAGCTGTATTCAGGCTGCAGCAATGGGTTCCCAAGGCATGTAAAATCACCAACAGCCACTTCTCTGCTTGTTCACTGCTGCTTAGCTTTGTAAACGCTTCTGCTCATGCATCGTTGATGTATATTAATGTGCCCCTGTCCTCCTCTCAGCACCGCCTGAATCAGGATCAGGATCGGTTCTGTGGAAATCATTAGCTTTGTTGCATTCCCTGACCCATTCACCTGAGTTAATTAACCTGTCTGGCAGATGCCCTCAAAGTGCTCTATGTGCCTGTGATGCTATATATTATCTAAATAGTAATTGTACCCAAATGCTGTAAGTCACAACGGTTTCTGGTCGTATATATTCAGCAACCGGACAAGGGCTTCTGGATTGCTGGGTCCAGTAAGTGGCGCTAACAGCTGGGGCTGTTTATCCTCCGAGGCTTGCTATGTGTGTCAGGAGGTGGTACCTGGTCTGTCACTCCAAAGCCCAGATTGGGCAGCAGGGAACAGGCAAATCGTTTTTTCAGTGAGAAGCGGGGCACTGGCAGCCACGTTTTCCATAGTGGGAGCTCCAGTGGTGACACATTGATCACAGTTTCTGCTCAGCTGGGCTAGCGATCACCTCGGATTAAAGGAACCTTCCTGTGCTATCCAGAGTGCATCACAGCCACTGCTAGGGAAAGCGCCAGGCATGTTCCCCGCTATCCTCCTGTACTGAGAACCCCCTTCCCGATAAATAACAACAGCAGCCTATAGGATTGTCACATTAAGATAAAACCATCTGGACACATTCCTTCTCAAAGGACATATTTTCTGTGCTGTGGATACCACATAGGACTGGGCATTTATGTGTTCTGGAGGAGAGTTTTTGGCCCTTTGGCTGAGAAACAGGATCAGTTCAATATGATGCATCCCCTACCGGGAGGGACTGGGCTCTCCTATTGCAGGAGGTGAACTTGGTTGCCTAGCAAGGGTTTTCGTTAGAAGTT